GAATTTGAATTCTCAAAAAACAATAACGATACATTTCTAAAGCTCTTAGTCACAGTCTGCAAAGGAGCCTGAGGACCATGGACAACTAGACGTATGTTTGTAAACAGCATCAAAGGGGAATAAATGTGGTTTAACACCGAGAACACTACAAGCTATCAAGGATTTGTATTTAATTTTTACAAGTAAAAGTCAGTGTTGAAGAAAGAGAGCAAGCCCTGACAATCCGAGATCATTTTTCCTTTATCTTTCACAACACGGAGGCAGAAGAAGTCACTAACTTTTAACTTCTTAGAAGGCTTCCTGTGGATCAACTCAATCAATGTATCTGGGCTCCAGTAAGCCCCAACATTGGCTTTATAGAGAGAAAAATAGCTAGCTCTGTGAGTTCACAACATAGTGAAAATTTTCTTGACAAAACCACACATTCTTTAATTGGCTTTGAAGTTAGACGAAGAAATAAGTTTTAATATTGACATTACATTGGATATTTTTTCAAGAGTTCAGGACTATTAGTCTGCTTAATCTCCCCTTAAGACCTCAGAAGCACTGTAAAGGGACTTATGTTTATGAAAACATTAATATTGATTTTTCCCAATGTTACAAGAACCATGTATCCTTATGCATCTGTAGTGTCCCCACTTTTTTTCTTTACCCTTCGTCAGAACTTGTGTTTATACAAATCAGACAGAAACCAGATTCAACCAACAGCTAAAAATTATTTACTTATACATGCTGGTTTAAAACATTCTGGTATCATACCACACCACACTGAAAGACATCACGACGTACTGTGTGTAATGGAACCAAATAAATACGCTAAAGAGTATTAGTATTCGCTGTCACAAAATCATAATATCCCATGATACAAACAACGAGATTGTATAACGTCCCCACATCGTTTTTTCAGAACTGGGGGAAAAAAAAAAAAAGAGGTGGAGAAACTCAGCAAAACAAAGTGGCAAGAAAAGTCGGGGGAGGGGCGCTAGAAGAGAAGGGGCGGAGAAACACGACACCGAGGCGGTGATATCACCCACAGCCACGGCATGGAATTCAGAAAGTTAAGTGTCACCAAGCAATTTCGGTGCGGGCTCGCGGCGCGCCTGCACAGCGTGGCGGCGGCACCCCGGCTTGGATGCAGGAAGGGGGAGGGGAACGGCCTGACTGAGTTCGCTCGGGGGCAGCCGAGGGGAGGGCCGCCCGCTTCTCGAATGACGCGCGTTCGAGTCCCGGGTCGGGAGCCTAGTCCGTCGCCCGGCGATTTCATCTTTTCCTAAGAGCGGCCGTCTTGGGCCGCAGCTGCCACGTGCCTGGTCCGGCCCCGTGCGCTGCGCCCGGGGACCTACCCGGACGCGGCCGCGGCTGCCGCGGGGCGCAGAGGCAGGCGGAAGGGAAGGGCTGGCGGCCGGAGAGGGGATCGGGGTGGCCGAACCGGGCTAGGGGATTGCTCCGCGGAATCCGCCGGCCTCAAGGGGCTGCCCTGCGGACTGCACCCACCCTCCGCGCCCGAAAGGGGAAAGGCCAGCGCGCAGGGCAGGTTTCGCAACTCCGAGGGCGGATGCAGGCTGTGGCCGGGCGGGATGGAGCGGCCGTGCCTTTTCAGCGCCCCCGGCCTGGCGGAGCCCCATTCTCGGCCTGCGCCCCGCCGCGCAGTGCGCGCTCCCGGCGGCGTGACCGTGGCTGTTGGGCCCCCGCTCTAGCCGGGCAGCGGGCCACCCGTGTAGGGGACAGTGGCGGCCGCGGGGCCCGGCGCCGCGCCGCTCTCTGCCCGCCACTCCTTCCGCGCTCCGGGCCCTCTGCGCCCCCTCCCCGGGCCCCGGAAAAATGCTTGTACCTTCCACCGCCTCCTCCACCATCTCGTCGTCGCTATCCATGGCGGCTGGGGACCCTGCCCAGCTCGGGGCTGCGCGGCTGCCTCCCGTCCCTCCGGGTGCTCCCGGCGGCTGAGCGAGCTCTGGGGCTCGCGAGTTTGGAGGAGGAGGAAGAGGAGGAGCAGTCGGGGCTGGCTCGCGCTGCCTCCCCCTACAACCCTTTCAATTCCTTGGCCTTCAGCTTCTGCGGCAGCAGCCGTCCCCCCTCCCTTCGCCCACTTGCCCCTCGCTTCGGAGGCTCTGGGGTGCCTCCTTGGCCGCCGCCGCCGCTGCAACTTTCTCCTGTAATACCCCCTCTTTGTTATCAAGCAGCTGATCCGCTGACATCACCCAGCGCCGGTGCGCTCCCTCCCTCGCTGATTGACAGTTCCCTGTCCCTTTCCTGAAGTAAGGCTCCTTAAAACGAAAGGCGCTCCGAGGCCGCGCGTATTCTGCGTCCTGACCAACCCCCCTCCGGCCCGTCAGCGTTTCTCTTTTGCTTAGGTGCGGGTTGGCTCGCCCCGAGCGTGCCACGCGGTCCTGGGCGCCGCGGGCTTCTCGCGGACACTTGGACCGCCCGTGGGGGCTCCCAGCTCCCGACCTCCGGTTCTGCCGGGGGCAACTTGAAAGTCCGCCGTGCACTGTCCGTGCCCCACAACCTCCAAAGTGGCAGAGAAACTAAGGAAGCGTTTCTGCCGCTCTGGCGCCTGGACTTCCTCTCACCCTCGCCCTCGCTTCACCCGGTTCGCCACCGGGAGCTGCACGAGTGCGGCACGCACGGGAGCGCAGGTGTCCTCGCGGTCCCGCATCACATCCGCAAGACGATTTCCCAGGCTTGGGAGCTGTTCTCTGGCCCGAATTCCGCAGGGTGACGGGTCCTCCACAGCGCCCCCAGTCCTCGCCCTCCTTCGGGTCGCCAGGCCCTCGGGTGATTCAGAAATTCATCAAATCCAAATGGCTTCGGGCTCTTTGTCAGGCAGGAAACAAACCGCACCGAAGGCTCGGCAGGTCCCTCCTCGAGGCTGTGGTCGTGGAAAAGGAGCCGCCGAGTGGAGCTAACGGAGGAAGGAAGGACCCTCCGTCTGGCGCGCCTCCTTCCAGCGCCTCCCGCCCTCTACGTGTGATGTCCCCAGCTGTCTCCCTGTTTCTCCAAGTGCCAACCACTTCACAGATTCAGGCGTCGTCAAGTGGAGAAAACCACTGGGCACCCGGCTTCCGGCCCAGCCACTTAATGTCATGATGGCGCTGCCTCTTACAGGTGGCGGTAAAGGGCGCCTGTAAATAGCCGATTAAACAGATGCAAATGTACACAATGTACCGTGGAATTACCGGGTGCCGCTCTGGGCACCTGCCAAGAACAGCTACTGCATGGAGGGGAGGAGGGAGCAAAACAAAAAAAGTAGTTCCATTTTGTTTTCTGAACAATGAATGAGACTTTGGGGATTTCAAAATACTTCCAGCGCCCGGGAGACTACTCCTTGCTTTTGGCTCTGTGCTTAAACAGTAGATATTTTTATAAAGTATTGCCGGCTTCTTTTTTAAAGTCAGCTTTTCCTCTATGAAAAGAGAACGATGCTAGGGACATTAGCCCCACACACTTCCAGGAATGCCAGCCCCTTTGATTGTTTTAGATGGGAGAGCCCTGGACCAGAAATGAGGAGACTTGAGTCCTGGTGCTACTCACCTGCAGAGGTGTCTTGGGAGCTTAGCCAGGCAGCCTGAATTCCTCCAAATTAGAGGTTTAGCTATTGACATAAGGTCCTTGGGGCTTAGGCTAGACAACTCTGAGGTTTTTCTGGTTCAAGCAAGACGCCCTCTAGCTTAGTCTAGACCTCTCTGAAGTCTCCTGGCTTAGGTCTGACTTCCTTAAAGCCCTCCAGAGCAGATACTGGGAGTTCAAGGCTAAACGGAGGTGTTCCTGCAGTGGATGATGAAAGAGCCACTTTAGGTTACATCATTTTCAAACATGAACCACAGAAACAGGATTTTATATCTGTTTTTTTAAAAGCCATCATTTACTGAGCTCACTCACTGGTTTTGAATTATATGATTTTTTTTTCTTATTTTCTTTCCCTTTTTACATATCACCTCCTCACTTGCATATTATACTGGTGCACTCAAACATACCAGGTACTCATCTTCCCCAGTTTCCAGTTGATTTGCAGGGGCAAAAACGATGCCGAAAGCTCAAGGAAGCAGCAACAAGACTTTATTCTCTTACTCAAAGGGAGTGAGGTAGGGCTGGGAGGCTGGAAGAAATCTCCTCTCAAGACAGATGGAAGACACAGGTTCATAGTGGGTGGGTATGAGGGTGGGTGAGGGAGAGGGGAGAAATCAAGTTGCAAGTGTCCACCTGCCCCCTTAGTGCTGTGAGGTTTTCCCAGCCTGTACTAAGCACCCAAACTGTCAAGCACTCCCTTTCTACCTACTACCTTGAGGACACCTGAAACCCTGCCCATGGCCCCCATTGGTGAAGCAGGGGCCCTCTGGACCTGCAGGAGGTAGGGACAGGAAATGAGCAGGGTCTTTCTAGCAGATCAGTAGTGATGAGGGGTGAAAACTGCCAGATCTGCACATGAGGCAGGCAGCAGCAGGGACACAGCCCCATCCCTTTTCTCCCACCATTCATTCCTGCTGGCTCTGGGCCCAAAGCTGGGGCAAATGTTTTTATGACTCTTAAGATCCACTTGTATCTTTACAAATCATGTTGTGTATGTTTCGAGTCTCCTTCTCTAGACCGACTGTTTCTTATTTATGGTCCTAGAACACAACACAGTGCCTGGTACAGAATGTGGGTTAAGCATTGTCAGCAATGATTTTGCAGATAGGAATATTCTGTTTTATATAAACAGTGCTGAGTCTTTCTCACAGACTGGATTCTTCTCCTGTGTTTTGGCAAAGTGCTTTGTTTCAGTTCAAATCTGAAGAGCATTTCTGAGTTGTTCCACTTTCCCGCATCGACTGGCCCCAAATCTGCTTCCATCACATTCTTTCCCACAGTTTGCTTTCATTGAGAGCTGATTTCATAAACCCTCTTTCTACTTGGCTGTCTACCAATTTCCCCTGTCGTACTCTGTCCCCACCAATGTGGTCATGAGCTAGAAAATCAATAAAACTCTTAATCACAAACAATGTGCAGCAGCAGCAGCAGCAACAGCAGCAGCAGCAGCAGCAGCAGCAGCACTGTGGCTCAGCTCCTAACTTGGCAGATCCCAGTGAGGCGGAACAAGCTCTACCAGGGAGAAATGCGACTGCACAGGACATCCAGCATCTAGGCCGGGTGAGACTTGCTTTCATGTTCACGCTGAGGAGTGACTTTTTTTTCCCTATCTCTGCTTCTCTGGTCTTCAATCAGGAAGAGGGGTGACTTTTTTTTTTTTTTTTTTTTTTTTTGAGACCGAGTCTTGTTCTGTCGCCCAGGCTGGAGTACAATGGCTCCAGCTTGGCTCACTGAAACCTCTGCCTCCCAGGTTCAAGTGATTCTCCTGCCTCAGCCTCCCAAGTAGCTGCGACTACAGGCACTTGCCACCATGTCTAGCTAATTTTTGTATTTTTGGTAGAGACGGGGTTTCACCGTGTTAACCAGGATGGTCTCAATCTGACCTTGCGATCCACCTGTCTCAGCCTCCCAAAGGGCTGGATTACAGGCATGAGACACTGCGCCCGGCCTGGGGCGACTTTTCTAAGCTGCTCTGGCTTAGTTTCCATTGTCTCCATGGCTATATTCCTTCTCTTCATACCCAGCTTGGGAAACATAAGTCCCTCTTCCACTGCAGCAAGCAGTCAAAATACTGAGTTAATTTTATTCATTCTGCCACCCCTGTCTTTCCCTGGAGAAGGCTGGTGCTTACATACAAGACTGATATAACTTTTGCAATAAATATATTTTTACAAGCTTCTTGTATTTTATGCACCTTCCTACATTTAGGGGAAACAATTCTGTCAATTCGCTGCTTTGCATGCTAAGCAAATTGTGAAGCAAGTAGTGAATGTGGAACTTGTGTGGGATTCACTACTGTTGGCTGTTACTGATTCCTCATCCTGCCCGCTGGCAGGGAATGGAGGGGCTCAACAGTCTTCTGGGTCTCCATGTGTTTGGGAGGGAGGAGTCTCTAAGACCTCAGTGGTAGGAAGTTGCATCAGAGCCTCTCCAGGTGCCCTGGTGGCTTTATGGTTGGTGGCCTGGCTCTGGTTTCCACCACTTGCTTACATCGCTGGCAGGAAGACAAGGATAGAATGAAGGAACTCTTAAATAATCATCAAGTCTCAGTTTGGCACTGCTCACTTCTTAACAAGATTTTTTTTTCCCCACCAAATTAGCCAGCTTGATTGAGTTTTCACTTTGTTTTGGTTCCCCCAAGAGCTGGCCAAGCAACTGGGCAATTCAGTTCTCAGGGGCCTTCGTTTTCCCATCTGTAAATAAGGAGTTGGGCTATATAAATTCAAACCTCAAACCTTCTCTGTCCACCTTTTCTGGGGAAAAGGTAAATAGAGCCTGAGGAGTCCCAGGGAAAGGCACAGAAAAAGAAAATGGGAAGAAGAAGCCCGGGCAACTCTAGCAAACTTGAGTATTCAAGTCCTCTCACTGTAATGGCTCTATCTGGGCAGGGGGGTGAGGGGAGAACCTTTATCTTGACACCAGGGAGGGAAGCACAGAAGTTTTAGCAGAACCAAAGTTCCTGGATTCTGAATCACTGAGTCACTAATCAAGTGGCTAACTGTGTTAGTGACAACTGCATAAGCTGGTGGGGGGGGGGGCGCTGGGAGAGGAGTATCGAGAAGGAGACGGGTGGAGGAGGAGATGGGAATGAAAGGGAAGCGTTTGCAGCTTGTGGAGCATTGGGAAGAGCAGGGACATCAAGGGCACCGAATAAAGGTCCAGGGAGCAAAGAAAGAAATGGAGAAAATTCATTCTGCTGGAAATAGACATGACTGCAGTCAGGAAGAAGACTTACAGATTCAGGGTGACCTGATTTGATTACAGCAACGGGAAGTGCAGGAGAGAGAGGGCAGAATAACCTGACCTAAGGAAGTAAATTAAATAATAGAGAAGACACCACAGTTGCCATGGTATTAAAATACCTCATGGCACATTAAGCTTCCTCTTTCGCTTGATTCTTGTTCTTGCGACATGTTAATGTCATTGCAGTATATCCAGATAAACTAAATTTAGACTTTCTGGGGCGGGGGGAGGGGAAGATGCAGCCCAGATCTCCCTGTTTGGGTCGACTCTGGCCCAATACTGTTGCTTCACAGAGTGCTTGGGGTTTTTTGCCTTATGGGATATGAAAACTCTTATGTCAGCCTTGGGCCTGGTGAAGCTGCTGAGTGAAATGATTTAAAAAAAAAAAAAAAAATGAGGCCAGGCACAGTGGCGCATGCTTGTCTGTAATCCCAGCACTTTGGGAGACCAAGGCGAGTGGATCACCTGAGGTCAGGAGTTCGAGACCAGCCTGGCCAACGTGATGAAATGCCATCTCTACTAAAAATACAAAAATTAAAAAATACAAAAATTGGTGTTGCACACCTGTAGTTCTAGTTACTTGGGAGGCTGAGGGAGGAGAATCACTTAAACCCAGAAGGCGAAGGTTGCAATGAGCCGAGATCGCATCACTGCACTCCAGCCTGGGCCACAGAGTAAGACCCCATCTCAAAGAAAAAAGAAAAAAAGAAAAAAAAAAAAAAAAAAAAAAAGAAAAATTGGAAATAGTTTTCAAAGGGGCATCTGTTTTAGAAATTACTTCAGAAAAACAATAGCATTGCAGAAATTTGAAAAATAAAGACAACCACCAACAAAACCAAATGTGTTTTCTTAGATATTATTTTCTTTAATTGCTTTTGAAAAATTATTTTACTGGGCTATAATTAAGATTATTGGGTTCTGTAATTGGTCCTCTGCAAAAGAAGACATTGCAGAGGACAGGCACATGGTATACTCTTTTGATACTACCATACCCAAGATGAACAGAGGAGTGTTTCCAGCTGACCAATTTACTACAAATGTCACAACATTTGTCAAGGGTCAGCTCTTGACCTTCCTCAAGTGGACTCACATAAACCAGACCCCCAGAGACTGAGGTGTATGCCTGAATTATGATGGACAGATTAGAATATTCACAATATCAGGGCAAAAGATTTCTCTATGTAAATAAATGCATTTGAGAAGACAAATTCCATCCGAAAGTTTGCTTAGTTAACTGGAGTAGAATGAATGACAGTTGTGTGGTCCACAAGACAAATACTCTTGACACAGTGTTCTGAAAGAATGAGGCTGCCCACCCACCCACTCACCCTAGCATAGATGACCCTGTGGCTTCTGAGGCTTCAAGCTTCTTTCTCCGTGCCTTAGTTTCTTCAAACCTGTTTCTCCACACAGCGTCCTGTATAGCCCCTTAGGCAGATTCACACTTTCTCAGTCATAATCACATCTCTATCTTCCTGGCATTATAGCCAAGTCACTTTAATGGGAATTTGAGGTAATCCTCAAACTTTTCAGTGACAAATTGGGTCACTCTGTTGGTTTATGCCCACTGAACTTTAGCCAAATCCATTGGGTATGCAGATTTTGGTAATCTAACTTTCTGAGCACAACCTGGTTCTCAGGTTCTTGGGGAAGCACCTCATTTCTGCTTCGTGAGCCATCAACAGTGGCCTAACCTTCTCAGGCTACCACGGATTTCTGAAAAATAGACCAGACATATTAACACCCATGTGGTCTGTCCTGTGATAGAGTCGTCCACATTTTCCTGGGATATTTTTCTTCTGTGCAGGAGCGGAGAGGTTGGCTCTTTGCTATGATGACTTAGGCAATGGAATGGCACCTTGGGGATACAGATGCCATCTACTATAACATAGATGGAGGGTGCAAAGTGTCCTCTTCATTGTCCAAATGAGACTCTCTGAATTTGAATCCAATATCCAGAAATGAAAATATCCATGTGGTCCTCCTGACTCAGTCACAAACAAAGACAGATTGATTAAAGTGTTTCTGGGAGCTGGCGTTGAAATGACAACCCTTGATCTATAGGCAGCCCTCACCTGGCGGGGCATGATGCTAACCCATCCCTTTCTGTATGTATTTGCTGGAGTCCTGTCTTGCAGTTAGCCTCTTTGGATCTGAAGTGTCTTTTTAGGTCATTTAAGGTCTTATTAATCCTCCTTGCTGAGTCCATAGATTAATTCCTAGGAAAAGATGTTGTGGCCAACTTTTGGAATGACTTTCAGACAAATTTAAAGAGCCCTGCTCAAATGCTCCAGTGCTCAAGATAGAGGAACTAAAAGCAGTCCTGTGGTAAGCCTTATACTGTCTCCTTGGAGAAAAATGCCAGCTGAGCAGCCGTGCAGTGAGAGTAGGTCTTCTGCAGGTTTTAAGCATCACTTCCCAACCTGGCATGTGGGGAATGCCTCAAGTCTGAGATAGCATGAGTTCTTCAGCAGAGCAGGGAGCCTGATTATTACTCGGCTATAAAGTCTTGGCACCTCCACCTGGCCTGTGTGCCCTCCTCTGTGCTGTCCCCCAAGAGGGTGTGGTGTGATTTGAACCAGGTCAGGTTCACTCTCAGTTGTAGACTAGGTAAGAGAGAGGGGCAAGTCAATTCTCTCTCCCTTCCAGCCAATCCTATAGAATTTGAAATATCTGCAACTAACTTTCCTTAATATTTCCTAATAGTCCTTCTGAAAATGCGCATTGAGAATTGTGGGGTTGGTTATATTCAAGTAGAGTCATCTAGTTTGTAGGCTCATTTGCATCTAAGGGGCTATTTTTTATCGCCACCATATACCTTTCAAGCATTTGTAAAGGTTTATTCTGAATGGAAAGTAGTTCGGCATATCTGATCTCATTTGCATCTCACAATAATTCATTCCCAATACCAGAGACATTTAAGTACTTGCCCAGGATTCCACACCTGAAATATGGCCAAATGAGGCTCAAATCAAGGCCTATCGGGTCTTTGGCCATACCTCACACTTCATGCAGAGTAGCAAGACTCTTGAGAGGGTGAACAGCAGAGGCCAGGGGTGAAATGACAAGAGGGCATTTAGAGACAGTCTGCTGTTTCCCAGGAGACTGAGTCACATCATTTTATTTCATCCTGAAAATGACCTTACAGAATATGATCTCCATTTATAGATGAGGGAACCTGAGACTGTGAGTTCAAATAACTTGTCTGGAGTCACATAACTGGTGAGAGTGGGATTGGAGTCACAGCCGCACAAACCATGAAAAGGCACAGATAGAGGAAATGGAAGTAACAGGACAGCTGTGGAGAAATAATTCTA